AAATAGCTTGTGTTAGTGTGAAAAGTAATGTAAATGATTTTTAATGATTTGAGCAATTAGGACTTAAATACTTAATGAACGTTCTCATTATACCTTATGAGGAAAACATCCTTAAAGTTATGTCTTTGTGCTGATGCTTGGTGGTTGATCATCTTTGCCTTCTTTAAGTGGTTTGTCTTCATCAAAGTATATGTTGATCTCTGAGAATCTTGATTCCACATATTTGTCCAAAGAGTTAGGTAAAATCATCACTTATTCGCTGATCATAAACTTTAAAAGAACTTCGGATATGTCATAGAGTTTCTATTATTATAGTCACTATAATATATTTATTAATATAATAGATTTAATTACAACACAGTTATATCATTATATCTATTCATTCACAGGTTCTATAATTATATATATTCACAATGGAAACTTTGTCTTAGCTTTCGCGAAGCGTCTTCATTGTGACTTCTCTCTTCTTGCTGAGTTTGGTGCAGTTATCAAAGCCACGGAGATTGTAGTTTCTTGGGATTGGTCTAATCTTTGGATCAAAACTGACTCCTCTTTGGTGGTCAAAGCTTACTCCAACTTTGAGTTGGTTCCTTGAAAATTCAGAAGACATTAAACATTAGAGTTACTGTTTAGATCCTTTTAAATTCTCTAATTTAATCATATCTCACATTTATAAAAAGGTAATTCTTGTGTCCACTTTTTAACGACTTAAATATTAGGAAGAATTTTGTAAATAATATATTAAGCTTACCTTTAAATTTTTGTAATTGTCGGAGTTAACTTGTACCCTTCTTATACCATTTTTTGTCTATTTATATTGGCCTTTATTAATATATATATATATATATATATATATATATATATATATATATATATATATATATATATATATATATATATATATATATATATATATATATATATATATATATATATATATATATATATATATATATATATATATATATATATATATATATATATATATATATATATATATATATATATATATATATATATATATATATATATATATATATATATATATATATATATATATATATATATATATATATATATATATATATATATCCATTCATTCATTCATAGTTTGAAGGCAAGGATGTAAGGATATTTTTAGAAGAAAAAACGGTAAAAGACATATTTTTTTGTTATTTTTCGTTTATTTACATCGAAAGAGAAAGTAAAAGATTGTGTGGGCTTCATAGTTTTCAATTTTTAATCTCTAGCTTTTATATATAAAAAACAAGTTTATCCGAATTAAAGCAATAAGAACATTTTGTTTCTTATGTGTTCACTATTTTATATTTAAAAACTTTTTTGAGTATACTTACTTGTTGAGATTTGTATTTTTGAAAATAACTGGAATAATAAAACAAAAATAAAATTCTATATATAATAATAAAGTTATTTTAAATGAGCTATAAGAAATATCTGATTATATTAAGTAGTACTTCAGAAGAAAGGCAGTATGGTATGATAACTTTTAATTATGGGATGTGATCTTACCTGATCAGAAAAATCAATGGTTTGTCACGCGTCGTTGAATTGTTGTTTTCACCGGAGTTGTGGAGAGAAAGGGGGTGTACCTGCAAGGTGTCACGGTGAAATTTGGATACCAAACTTTTGATTAGTTTGAATCTTATTCATTTGCAACCGAACTTTGATTTGTCCAAAGAAAGGGATAAATATCGAAATTCCCACAATGCAATGCAAATGCAAGGTTTAGAGAGTTTAGGTTCGGGGGTTGGTTAAACTTAGGGAAGGTACTAGCATCCTAAGTTTCTGTAGTACTCTACAAGAACCTCTTGTTTTATGTTTGTTTATTGCTAAGGTTTATCTTGCTTAAGGATGAAAGACCTAGGAGTTTATTTCTAAGTATACTCGATAAGATGTCGCATCTTATGCCTACATATCCTTACGGGAGTGGAATCAGAGTATCTGTAGTTCTCCTAAAGGTATGAGGAGTTCTTTGACTATGGTCAAAGTTCCTACGGGTTTAGGGTAGTTGATTGATAGATTTTATGAGAAGAGATGTGTTATCATTTTAAGAGAGATTTAACCGCCACAAGTTGTAGGAACGTAGTCTTTGCATCATCTTAAGAGAAGGGCTCAAGTACTCGGATAGGGATTGACGAGGTACACCTTTATCTCTCTTAAGGCAAAGTTCCTACGGTATTGACTGTATTGATGTGGGGTGGATATTCTATCTCGCTTAAGATGATTAACATCTTTCTCTATTGTGTTTGAATAATTGTTGTATTGTGTTGATTGTTTGTTTCTATGTTGTAAAGATAAAGCTCCTTCCTATGGGGTAGGTCCTAAACTTAAGAAGATCAACTTGAATGAGATCAAGGATCATGGGGAAAATGATGCAAATGATGCATACGCACGATTGTTGAGATCATGCGCAGATTCTTCCTTTGGACAGAATGTGATGCGTGAATATAAATGCGATAATACAAATTGTTGAAGAATAAATTGCAAGGAAGATAAACCATACACAAACGCATGAAAGCGCTGAAGTGTGTGAGAGTGAATGTGTCGTGAATGTGAGTGTGCACGATTAGGTTGTTTTTACGCTGTTGATTGATTTTAATTGGTTAAATTGATTTTAAGGGGAATGATTTGTTCCTAAGGAGAAATTGATTTTAGTGAGACTTTGACTTTTTTAGGTGAATTGGATTTTAGGACGTTATGATTATTTTATAAGGAGATTAATTTTATAAAAAAATTTGTTTATTGGTTTTAATAAAAAGTTAGATTGATGGAGTTGATTTTTAGGGAAAAAAAAAGTTAATTTAATTTTATTAGCAAAAATATTTTTGGATGTGAATTAATTTAAAATAAATAGGATTTATTAAATAAAATGGTTTTTAGATATTATCATAAGAGATAAAAGTTAATTTAGATTTAAAAAGTTATTAATTTATTTTTAAAGTTGTTTTAAGTGTGAGATAATTTCAAAAAAAAGAAAAAGGGTATATTATTATTTATAAACTGTTATTAAGTTTATTAAAAAGAAAACTAACTAAATGGCTGATTAATTAAACAATTAATTTAAAAAAAACAATAGTTAATTTCATAAAAATGATTAATATTAAATTAATTAGTTAATAAAATACTTGTTAATTTGTTTTTTTTTTAAAGTTAATTATGGGAGATTAATTGGTGATTAGGGATTATGTGTGTGTTTAGTGAGTGTGGTGTGTGATTACAACGTAAACAAAAGATTAACAGAATAGAGAAATGGAATGAACCCTAATTCCCCTTTTCCCAAATCCCTAAACCGATCCACTTCTGTTCATCTCTCTACCCGCCTCACTTTCGTTTCCCTTTGCGATTTGCCCCTTCGTCTTCCATACTTCTTCGATTCTCTATTCCTGAAACACAAAAACGCGAATCAAATCATAAAATAAAGCTTTAGCCAGATTAGCTTACAGTGGGATGTTCCTTTCTACAGAATTCCGATGAGAGGTTCGCGTCGGCAATGTCGTGATGGGTTTCAACGATGGGGATGACGTCGTTTACTGGGCGGGTGACGTCTGATGGCTTCGGTGATGGCGATGAGCTTATGGTGGTTCCGGCAACAAAACTCTCAACGACGACGAAGCAAAGAGATAAGTTCCTTTTTCTCTAACTTACACACTTAGGGTTTGATTTTTTGGATTTTTGTTTATGAGTCTCTATGAATTGCTGTGATTTTCAATGTGTTCTCTCTGATCATTTTCTTGCATCTGATGCCCTTTTATAAGCTTCAAATTTTCCACCTTCCCAATTCGGATTTGTGTGATAATGACCATGATTGATGTATTCAGACCTTCTATTTTGGATTAGACAATATTTGAAAACTTTCCTTCTTCGTGTGATTTGTGTTGATGTCTGTTAATGAGAAATTTCAATTCATAATATCTTGTATTAAATCTGTTTAATGCTTTTTCGGTCCAGATTCATTATCTTTGAGGATTTGAATCGGATCTTTTTAGAAACTTTTTCCTCTAATCAGCATATTCTCTTAATGGGCTTCTGACTTTGAATTGGTGATCTGGCAGGTGGGGATAGCAATGATTTTGGGCCAAATGATGAATTAGAAGCCCAGAGGGGGATTTAACAAAAGCTCGTTCGCTACTCATTGGAGAATGGATGCCGGTAACTTTCCCAAATTCTGAAAGTGAGCGAGAAGAGACTCCCTCCTGTTAATTTTATGAGGTATCCTATTTACAAATAGAGTGCACAATGCTTTTGTGATGGTTTACGTATATCAGCTTGTGCCTTCAAAGATGTTTCCAAGGCTCTTGGGATGGCATCATCTGCTGCAATGATTTGTTTAACTTGACTGGAAGCACTGTGAGAACCAATTAATTCACTATCTTCCTTTAATTGATTATCAGGAAAATTGAAAGAGCTCATTATCTTCGACTGGACAAACACTATCTAGAGCATCACAAGACACAGGCTCGGCATCATCAATCCTTGGTTTATGTTCAACCCAACCTATGCTGCACTATCAACTTAAGCCATGCCTCTTTTAAGTCAAATTATTCTAGTGTCGAAAACAAAATGGTAGTGTTCATGGAGTCTTGTTTGTACACCTTGTTCATGCTCAGGATTTCCTTTATTTATACTGTTGTTGTTCGCATTTTATCTCGTAGACGCTTGATGTAGGTGGCTTGAGGATATGTGGGATATGCTGCTTGGTAACTACATCTGCTCTATGTGCTTCAAAGATATGCTCATTTCACAAAATTCCTTCTGTAACGGTAATTTGGTAGCACTGCGAGAGGTTCGAATCCACTTGAAGTCTTCGCAAGTTATTCCGAAGTTGTATTGACTGCTATTCGTGTTAATTTCAGGTTTATGTTGGTGGAAGTTACGGAACATGGTGGTACTGAACTTGGCACTTGAGCAGTCTCGAAGTCGACGGAGGTAACTATGCAGCGAAAGGGGTCGGTTTGCTTGAAGTCTTCCTTTTACATTAATCAGCAACCAGTAGCCTTCAAGAAGTTGACATATGGGCGGGGTGCTGGCAGTTGAAAGAATGCATCCTCTTGCTGATATGATGTGGCACGAAGCCTAGGAACAGTCTCTGGCAATGTGCTGGGTGAATCCAAGAATGGATTTCCATTCACCAAAGGTAAACTCTGTTGAACATTGGAATTTGTGGGTTCGTCCTTTTCATGGTTGTAATTAGTAGGAGCAAAAATCCTGAATGAATAGCCATGTAATGAATTGGCACCCATGAAAGTGGAAATATTTTGTTTCTTTCCCGCGAGGAGGGCCTCACAATGGAGAGCCATTTCTTTGTATGGCATGTTAGAAGGTGTTGAAACAGAAATTCTTCCTACATGATGTGTTGTCTCAAAAACTGAACCCAAAATGTCATCAACACTAATCAGGCTTCGATTTTCTGCAGGTTGTTGTTGTGCATCAGCATTAGCTTGGCTTTCCAAACCGCAAGCTGGAATACCATCATCAATAGTAAATAGTGGAATATCAACCATATCAGAATGTTTATCATCCTTTAGTTCAGACTGGCAAATGTTTCTTGTTGTATCAAGAGACAACTGGACTCCTAATGGACAAGCATCATCTGGTGAAAAGTTAGTAAGCAACCGTTCTTTTAACACGGATGCTTCAATTGAAAGTTCTCTTAGATTCTGCACTATCATAGTAACAAATGATTTATTTGACTAGCTTTCAGTTAGTTTTATCGATGAAAGTGGCTATTTGAAGCTTGACGCGTTTTCATTCTTCTGTGTCGTAACTGAGCTCTGATTTGACAGGTTGTGTTTGGTTTCAAGGTAGCAGCAACCTCTTTAAATACAAAGTCTCATAAGTCCTTCGATGGCATCACCGAGAGCACTCTGCTAACTAGGATCTCAGGGTTTCCTCTCTTTCTGTCATATAATTGTTTTCTGAAAACTGCCCGTTCTGCCCTGACATATCGTGAGATTCGAGAGCTTCCGTCTTGAAAACAACATTATTGCCATTGAACAATGTCGGCATTCCGTTTCGGAAAGAACCTCACCGCTTCCAGCATGTTGTTATTCGTTTAACTAATGTTTTGAAAATAACTTACCCTTAGAGTATCTATTTCAGAATTCGTCTGGTTTTGTCTTGGCTGTTATCTTACTTGATGTGCTAAACCATTACAGGTGATGCTACCGAATACTTCGTCCCGACACCAAGGGTTTATGAGCCGTGAAAGCTGTTCATAATAGGTGAGATGGACCGTGGCAGAAGTTTGAGGATTGCACTGCTATTCGAGTTCAAGCTTAAATGTTTCAGATTTCAAGACTTCTTACTGTTAGATGCCCAATTGTGCTTATTGGAGCTATCAAATATGGACATCTTTCACTTCTTTTTATGCCGAAAACGTATTTATTAAGCCTTGCTTTTGTTAATGTGCATCATTGTGTCAAATGCTTTTGGTCCTTTTGATTTGTGTGTTATTGTGCAGGATTTAAGTGTGAAAGAGCATTATTGAAGGCTCAAGAAAGTTGGCAAAGGAATCAAGCAAAGAGCATAACAAAAGTTGGTTCGCTCAGCGAGCACTTGGCGAGTGAGTAGCGAGTGTTCGCTACAGCCTCGCCTAGCGAGCACGTAGCGAACAGCTCCAAACTTGGGCAGAATGGTTTTCAACATCAATCTTGGTCAGCGAACAAGTGGCGAAGAGGCTCGCTAGGCGAGCTCCCAGCGAGCACCTAGCGAAGCAAAACAGAATGTCCCAGGCACCCTTCGCTGGCTCATTCGCTGCAGCGAGCACCTAGCGAAGCATAACAGAATGGATCTTGCAGACCTCGCTGGCAGGTTCGCTAGGCGAGGCTGTAGCGAGCGTTTGCCAACAGCTCGCCTAGCGAGTGAGTAGCGAGCGTGCCCAGATTTGTCACTTACTATAAGTAGCTTGGGCCACTTTTTGGAGAATATCTTCTTTTTCACTTTTACATTTGTTTTGCTGCAAGAAAGGGTTTTGTGACCTAAAAACCTATTTTGGCTTATTTTCCTTCATCTCTTAACATAATCAAACAACAACAAGGTGGATCATCATCAAAGTTGGATCATTCGACTTGGATGTTCATCAACCGACTTTAAAACTTCTTGTGCAAGCTACCATGAGAATGTGTAGCTAAGTTCATCTTGTTGTCAAAGATAGATGTAGGTAATCATTGAACTTTGTATTTGTATGGATGATTTTCATTTGTAAACTATTGAATGATTAATGTATGGTGAAAACTTTGTTTTATTCATAATCTTTTGTGTTGGTTAATGATTGAGAAATATTTACCAACTCTTGACCTAGGTTTTCACCCATCTCTTTTCTTGAGCTAGAAATAGTCTTGAATGATTTTGTTCACTTAAAATGTTGAACTTTAAAGTTGTCATTTTGATAGATTGTGTGAGAGATCAAAAATGGATTAAAATGATAAACTTCACAATATGAGTTAGAGATAATCATATTGAGAGGATATTGTGAATGCATTGATCATTTGAAAGAGTTTATTAAATGTTGATCAGAAGTATACATGCAAAGTGATTAACGAAACCTAACTTTGACAATCTTTATTCAAACCGTTAAAACCTAACTTTTATCGCATTTATTCCTTTCATGCAAAACACTTTTTACCTTAAACACAAACTCTTGGATACCATTAAACTATAAATTTAAAAACTGTTGAACGGCGGCAAAAATCTTATTATTCCCTGTGGAGACGATATTACAAACCCAACACTTAACCACTATTCTAACACTTACCGGCACGACTTACGTCATTAACAACATTCCTCGCTTATGTAATCCTAAAGAAACGTAAATCCTCCTTGTAATCACAAAGTGAATTTCCAAATATGTGGTGCTTCCTCGAGAGATTGAATCTTGTATTCTGTAAATGAATTAGTGCATTTGAATGGAATTTAATCTTCTTGGATTTGAAATTAGTTTATGTCTACGTTACTGTTATTCATAGAAACTTGGTGATGTTAATATTGTAACCTCAAAGAAATGTCATCACCATATATCTTGACGTAAACTCTGTTATGGGAATCATCCCCCCTTCAAAAATTATTCGAACAGTGTTCACAATGAAATTGATAATGGAGACCTTGTTGAATTTCAAAAAGAGATGGAAATTGCTTGTTGTTTCTTTTGATGTTGATGGGCCCTTTGAGTACTCTAGAAGTTTAAATTTATAAATCTGTAACCTCTTGCGCTTGAGTAAAAAAAAATCAAAATTATTCTCCTGGTTTGAATTTAAATATTGGGCCGAAATAATGATGAATTTGATCATAGTAGACAACTCTTGACAATAAAATGGCATAAATCTCAATCCTCGAATAATAAGCCCTTATGTGTATCACTTCGTAATTCCTTAAACTTCCAACAGTAACCTATCTTTCACACAATAAACAAACAAGTTGGTTAAAATGGTTAGCTATGCATAATGATTGACTATGAGAATGAACGCCATCTCACTCGATATCACTGCGTCTGCACAAATTGGTTAGTCACATAAATATCAAAATAAAGTTAAATGACAATAGAAAAAATGCAAAAAGAGGTGACATCTTACAGTCAAAAATTGGGGTGCAACACAAGGCACTCTGATGCTTAAGTGAGTAAAATATCAGAGAGAAAGCAAACACAGAGGTTAGGTATGGAGAAGAAGTTACCTGACCCTCTAGTGAAAAATGGTATTTATAGTGTGTCCCCAGCGCAGGGCCAACGATTACATTGTATTGGGCCGGACTGTCAGACCCAACCCAAGTAACTAAAAAGACTTACGTGGTGTAGTGAAGACCAGCACGTGGTCTTCGCCCTAGATCAACTGCCCTGTGATCTTCGGAAGGTGGGTTGACCGACTCTTTCGGAGGTGGGTAGTTGTCAGATAATGTGTCCCCGCGTGGGGGACACGTGGAGGACGTGGGGGAAGTGCGTGAGCTTCCGCGTCAGGAAGGTCTTCTGCCCGACGCATGTGTCTGGTTGAGGCCTGTGCCCGACGGAGGAGGATTGGGCCTCATCACCATAGCATTGGGCTGGACTTGCCCGACTGAGGGGCAGGTCCCGGCCCAGTCCAGAACATGATGAATTATGATGCTGGAACACGAGTAATAAAGAAATAGTTGAAGTAATTTAAATAAATGAGTTTAATTGGTATACACTGTCAGTGTAAAATAATTTTACACTGTCATCTAATAGAAATTTATCAATCTACCATGTCATATCATTAACTTAAAATTTACAGTATGATAGGGCCGAATACATGAGGGTGATTGGTTAACAATGTAAAATCATTTTACACGCATACCAATTAAATTCTTAATAAATTATATATCATATATTTGATAGTGATTAATTTTACCAATAAAAATATAAATTTATTTAAGATTTATGTAATTTTTTTTATTATTTGAGCAAAATATAAATTAATTGTACGAATACCACATGATATTATAAAGATTAAGAGTGATAAAATGGGTCATCCACCCCGTCTGTCTTAAATTCGTTAAAAAAGAGCGGGGTGAACAAGTCCGCCAAGTGAAATTAATCTTAAAAATCCAACCCGCTCTGCTAAAATGACGGATTGGCAGGCGACATGCTTGCCCTCCTATTTTTAAAAAAAATAATTTTTTTAATAGATTAAAAGGTATTTTTTTTAATAATTCAATTAGAAAGCATCGAATTAATAATTAAAAAGTATAAAACGGCAACTAAAAATCTAAAATCATTAAATTTACCTAAAATAGAAGCATTAACAAGCATTCCTAAACTATAATTTAAGTATTAGTAACTTTTAACCAAATAAAATAAATATTTAAAATGTTTAATAGTTAGGCTAATACGCCAACCTGCTCTTTTTTCCTGTAAATTTAAGAAAGGGCAAATTTAAGGTGAGACAGCCTAAATGGATAAATGAACACAAAATTTCAACTCAATCCACCATTTTTAAGCGGATGCACGTGTTAAAACATGATTTGGTTATGCATTTAGACCTTTAAATTTTGGTGATAACAAGGTAGTATTTGTGTGAGAATAATTTTGGTACCCTAACAGTTTGTTATTGTGTAGCTTTAACAACCAGCTCTGATTCTGAGAATATCACGTGCAACGTCATCAATTTCTGAACTTTTGTGTTCCGAAAGTCATTTCCATGCTGATTCACTCTTAAGAAGCTTCTGAGAAGACGTTATGTTGCTGCTGCAATGTTCTCTCTGTTTCTGCTTTTGGATATAACTCTAATCACCAAGCTTCTGAAGAATGGAAAGCTTCTGAAGTTTATGTTACTAAGTTGAAGATTATGAAGATTTTCAAGGCAGACGCTGACGCTGTCAAAAGGTTATGACTAAAAATTCTGAAGATTTTCAAGCCAGACGTTGACGCTGTCAAAAGGTTCAGACTGAAGATTTTAACCCCAGCTATGTGTTTCTTCGTTTTCATGCTTAATCAAATTTCTACTAGAAGCCTATGAATAGGAAAATAAGGATAAAAGGATACGTGATCAAAATAGTACATGATACAAAACGAAAAATATTTCTTCCACTACCTGAAATTGTGGGCGAAAGGACTGTACTATTATTTACAGTTGTCACTATTCCATTAATGGAAAGCTGTAATTCTCGTATTCCTAATTTTCCCTCCAACGGTTCCTTTTTCATGCTATATAAAGAGGACTTG